ACTTACTTCTTTATTCTGTTCTATTTTTACAGTGTTAAACATTCCCAACTACTGTTGTGACTAAAGCTAAGTATCCTTTATATTTCATTGATATTTCTCTTTCCTACAAGTAATATTCTTTAATTTGATACTGGTCAGATGCTATTGAAATGTGTTCCAATAATAGGCTTTGCATGTGTTTTAATGTTTATCCAACTCCCTTTTCTAGCCACTAAATGGCTATATTCTGAATCCTTTATTAGATTGTAAATTTGCAGTTCTGTTCTCTCACATAATAAAACATTGCAAATATTTGTAAAAATTATTAAAATGTAGACAGATAAATAAGTTGAAAGGGGTAAGAAAGTCAATTTGTGGAATTTGGAGGCACCCATTATACTCATCAAGATGAAGGGATGGAAAATTTAAGGTACTTCAGCCTAAATCCTTGCATAATCTGGATTAATTAATGCAGTGTTTTTTTAAAAAAAAGAGTCTGAGTGTGGTGGCTGAGGAAAAAAAATAGCACTTGGAAATTCACTTTGGGAGAAATGGAAAATGTTTATATTGCTGAGATTTAAACTGCTTCAACTACAAGATTGAACTCTTCAGAATTTATCACTGGGTGGGTATAGCCACTTCCTCTATAAGTTTATTAATATAATTTCATGTGTGGATTATAAAAAAGTCAAAATCCCTCAGCTAAGTATCTAAGACCTTGATGCATACTCTTCATAAATATTCAGAGTTCTGACTTTTCAAATTTACAATAGAACATGAAATCATTATCTGTGATAACTGGAGCTTTAGGGAATGCTCAAAATAGATATAGTTATAATACATCTTTATTTTATTCATGATACTTTAAAATTATTTTGAAAGTTATATTATAATACCAAATTCAGTTATTCCTGTACTCATTCAGTTCAAATAGAACGGTTCTTTACAGAGTGAAGTAACTCATTACCATATCTGTGATTTGAGAGTGTACCAATTGATTTCCATTTGTTTTAATACATGTAATACAAAGCCATATATTTTACTGCTTTATATTTTTTATATTATTGATAATTATATAAGTGATTATAATATATTTAACATATTTTATAAATATACATTTAAATACAAAGCTCCATAAATATGATTTTTGGTATTGTTTTTTAAAATATCTAGCAAAGTTAAAGATGTAAACAACCAAAATAAGTTTACCTATCCTTTTTTTTATCACTGAGTGGGATGGAATGCTTAATATTAGATTGTTTTTATTATGGCAATATACTTATAATAGGAAGACTACCACAGGAAAATAAAAAAAGAGCACCTTTATCATTAGCCAGAAATCCAAATTTGATGTTTTATTATTGTCAATATTATGCTTATTTTGAAAAATTAGAGCATAATAAAAAATTATTTTGACTGGCTTAAACCTGGGGGAACCAAAGAAGCCACACACAAACTAGAGACACCTCCATAAAATCATGTACTCTGGAAATGGCTAAGCTTATTTGTGTCTTGGAACAAAAAAATAAATGAAATGCCTTCTATAAATGGTATGACCCAATGCAGACCCAGTGACAATTTTTGGACGTTTCAAAGCATATCATATAGGATTTGACAACGTGAAAGTAATGGTTTTCCTAGCTTCCAGTTTCTGTTTTCTGTGCATTCTGTACCTGCAGACACAAAGAAAAATTCCTCCACACTGAGGCTTAGTTAGGAAAAACAAAAGAAAAAATATATATATTCAGGTCTTTGAAAGGACTTTTTTTGTCATACAAAAATAATATAAAAAGTCATTTTGACTGGCTTTGAACAAATTAACACCTATAATATTTGGCAATATAAGTGGTCTAATCATTTATTTTAAAAGAAAGACTATTATGTTCCATTTCAACCATCATTAACATCAAATATAACTAATATCTTTCCTTAAAAGCTGCCAAAAAACCAAACCCTTATGTCACAAAGATTTATTTTTCCAGCCTTTCAAAATAATTTGTTTTAAAGAAAATGAGAAAACTATGCATTCATATATCCCAGAGTTTGTGGCATTCTGAGGGTAAATTTTGAAACATATGAATGATCTTCAGGCAGAATTTTGATATCCTGAAAAACAGAAAGATCATTCTCAGCTCATTTGGACAGAAACATTGGTAAAAGAGGGATAAGGACACATATATAAGACCTTAATCAATTAAGAAAATAAAAAAATTTTAAAGTCATTGGTCAGACAAAAATTATTTTTTAACAAAATAAAAGTCTCCTAATTCCTAAAGAACATAAAAATCCATAAAGAACTCTCTTAAATTTCAACTCATGATAATTAGAGTGTGTATTACTTAAAAACTAATATAGATATATTCATTATACAGATATTGCAAATGGCACAATTATTGACTTGAGGATATAAATCTAAATCATAAAATATTTAATAATTTTTTGTTTGATGTGACACAAATTGATTTTTGCCTAACCAAATAAGCCATGTATTTTAAATTCTGTTGGTTAACCTCATGTGTCAGGGTGGTTTGTAGCCCAGGTCATAAAGGAATCAGTTTCCTATGGTAAATGGTATAAATTTAGTTCTTATTAAATAATTATCATTTATAGTTTGGGAGAGAATTTCCTCCTATTTATAAAAATATAAATCATTTTTGAAAGTGAATTGTGTAGAAAACTGGAAATAAATATCTCAATGTAAAGATATATTTTAAATATTTTTAAAAATAAAATATTTTAATACTTAAATATAGCTCTGTTTGATTAGTGCAGATGCTATGACTAAAAGGCATGTTCCAACTAAATAACAACTTGCTAATATGTATGGGTCATTAAAAAAAACAGAAGAAGTTCTTAATTGAAATAAATTTTAGACCACTAACCCCTATTTTTTTGACAAGTTTACCTTTTATCAAATTTATTTCTAGGACTCATTCAAAGCTTCTGTTAAACTGGCCAGACATTTAAGGTTTTAAAACATTAATTGCACACTTTATTCTGTGGAAATTAAATCAATGGTCTTTTCATTAAGTATAAGAGCATAAAGTATTGACCTATTTGAATCAAGAAATGTAACAAAAATGTGCAACGTTTTAATATTGGATTAATTCATTAAAAATAATTATACTTATTTTTTTATTGCAGGTAAAAAAGGTTAATTTAAGAAATGAACATTATTTAATCCTTTTAGTTTTCAATCTCCTTTTGTTTGACAGATGAATCAGTATGGCTGAAGATACTTTTAATCATTTGGGAAAATGATTAATTCTTTTATGACTTTCACACAATTGTTTCATTATCTGCCCTAACCAATTAAAATTTGGGATAGCTAACATGTTTCTAAACAAATAAATAGACCTTAAAAGTGTTTCTATCTTGTCAATAAAGTAATTTAGATACATTGGCAGCTACCAGTATATGAAAGAAACTAAATCAGTGACTGATTTGTCAAATATGAATAATTTGCATATTTCTTATACTTCTGATACTTTAACAATGTAATAGTCTACTCTTTTCTTTTGGGAGAAGTGATTCACACAAACACAAAACACATAGAAGAGGGTGGAGGAGCTATTTGGAAGTCTTAAAGCACTTTTTCATAGTATATTTGATCACTTAGTAAAGTAATATGTTCTGAAATATTTCATAACTCTTTAAAATACTAGAATTAAATTAAATCTATTTTACATCTCTTTTTTGAAACAAAAAGTGCTGGCACTCCAGGTGTTTCTTGACCCCTGGCTGAATAACTCCAATCTCTTTTGCTGTCTTTGTATGGTCTTTTCTGTTTGTCCCTATTCTATTGAAGGGCACTTGTACTTCAATCTAGGGCTCACCAGAATATAGAGAAAGAGGTCATCCTGACCACTGTAACTAAATACATCTGCAATAACACTATTTCCAAGTGAGATTACATTCACAGGTTCTGAAACATAGTCATATCGCTAATGGGACCACCAACCCACTATAATGCATACAACTGGCCAAAATTTATATCCCACATACAAAATACACATACCCTTTCTAACATCCCAACTGTCTCAACCCTTACAATATCAACTCTTAGTCTAAACTCTCATCTACACTAATAAAAGAGAAACATGGTAATTAGCGTACGACTGCTACCCTTCCCATTGGCTAATCAGGGCGATATGCAAATTAACTGCCAGCCAAGATGGCGGTTAACCGCCAACAAAGATGGCGGTTAATTTGCATACGTAGCCGCAATGCTGGGAGGCGAAAGGGGAAGGAGGGAAGAAGCTGCCTGCCGCTGATTGCATTGGAAACCCAGGTGGCAGCCAAGAGCCAGAGAACTGAGCTGCCTTTGCTCAGAGAAGCCAGGCCGCCTTTGCCGGCTTCTGTGATAGGAGAACCTGGCACCTTTGCCGGCCCTGGGCCAGTAATCGGACACCAGTGATGGGAGAACACCCAGAGGCGGGGCCAGAGGCCAGCTGCATAGCTGCCTGGGGACACCATCCTGTCCCCTGGGAGACACAGCCAGGCCCCAGCAGGAGATCCAGAAGGCGACCCATGAGCCGGGGCCGAGGCTGCGTCGACGCTGGGGAACACTATCTGGTGCCTGGGCTGAGGAGACCCAGGGGCCCGGGCTGCGTCGCAGCTGGGGCACATGATCAGGTCCCCGGGGGCGATGCAGCCAGGCCCCAGAAGGAGACTCAGGCGCCAGGGCTGCATCGCCGCTGGGGCACGTGATCTGGTGCCTGGCCTGAGGAGACCCAGAAGGAGACCCAGAAGGAGACCCAGAGGCCTCCCAAGAGGAGAGTCTCCGTGGTCAGATGGCGCGGTGTCAGGACAGGAATAAAGACCCGAGGTGACTCAGATGCCTGGCCACAGGGTTAGACCAGCCAGCAGGGCCTTTCAGTTTGGACTGGGATGGGGGTGGGGCGAGGGAGGCAAGCCGGACATAGAGATCTACAACTCCCAGGAGGCTTAGCAGCCGGGGCCTGGGTACCTGGCTGTGAAATTGGATGGGCTGTGTCATTTTGCAAGCCACTTTAAACTAGAGGCTTGCAAGGTTGGAAATTCTTTGCTGGGAGCCAGGGAGAAATGGAGCTGGAGCAGAGAGAGGGGTCCATGGCAGCCATGGGCTTTGAGAAGTTCTCAGGTCACATCCTGGAGAGCGAGCTTGAGACCAAAGTGGAGTTCCTGTCTGGGGGTCTGGGCAGCTCCAGCCTCCAGGTGCAAGACAAAGAGGAGGAGGCAGCCCAAGGCCAGCAACAACGGTGCCAATGGGAACTCAATCACAGAAAGTACCAGGCGCTGGGTCGGCACTGCAGGGAGATCAAGCAGGTGAACGAGCGGGTCCTGAACAGGCTCCATCAGGTACAGAGGATAACAAAGAGACTCCAGCAGGAGCGGAGGTTCCTCAAGAAGGTGCTAGACTCCTACGGCGATGACTACCGGGCCAGCCAGTTCACCATCTTACTAGAGGACGAGGGCAGCCAGGGCACAGACGCCCCCACCCCAGGCAACGCTGAGAACGAGCCTCCAGAGAAAGAGGGGCTGTCCCTGCCCAGGAGGACACCAGCGCCCACAGAAGCCAGCAGCCCGGCCCCTGGCGAGGGGCCCAGCGGGTGGAAGAGGCAGCAAGCGCAGCGAGTGCCACAGGAAGGGCACCAGGCGGGAGTCCCGCTGACTCCGGAGCTGGCCCCCGTGCAGATAAAGGTGGAGGAAGACTTTGGCTTCAAAGCGGTTGAGGCTCTGGACTCAAGTTGGGTTTCTCGGGGGCCAGACAAGCTGCTGCCCTACCCCACCCCTTTGACTGACCCCCCAATAAACAGACCCCATGCTCTCCTCGGCAAAAAAAAGCTTATAGAGACATGCTTATAGGATCAAATAGTATAAATATAGATGTAACAGGACAATAAAAAGAGAACCTGGCTATGATGATTACCTGAATGCTGCCTCTGTGTCATTCCTTCTTTGCCGACTCCATCCACACTTTTGGGAACCCCTGGACCTGCTGGGCAGGACCCCAACATTCCTCTTCTTATAAGGACTTCAGTGAAATGGGCTAAGGGTCCCACTGGAACTGCCTCAATTTAATGTAATCCCCTCTTTAAAGATCTTATCTCCATATACAGGTACATTCTGAGGTTCTGGGGATTAGGATTTTAACATACATTTTGTTGATTACCCAAATCAGCCCTTAACAACCAACATGTTCCAGAAAGTATATTCCTATAGGGTTATTTACCAAACATTCAGAAGTATTTTTAAAAGAGCTAAGCCCCTCGCCCACTGCGCGGGCCCCTCCCGGCGAAGAGTGAAGGCCTGGGTTCCGGGCACCAGAGGAAAACCGGTGCCAGCAGCCAGGGGAAGGGGCCCCCAAGGGGACCCAGATTTTGAGAGGGCACAGGCCGGGCTGAGGGACCCACCCGAGTGCACAAATTTTTGTGCACCGGGCCTCTAGTCTAAATATAATCAGCTCAAAAAATTTCATCATCTATATCAAGTATGAGTGAGACTCTGAGCATGATGCAATCTGGGACTAAATTAATCTCCATTTAGGGAATCTTTGAAATTAGAAAAAAAAAAAATATATATATATATATATATATATATATATATATATGCTTGTAAAATACAATGGCACGACAGGCATAGGTTAGACATTCCCATTTGAAAACACAAAAATTGGATGCAATAAAATAGTCACTGGTCCCAAGTAAATTTGAATTAGATTTCAAGGCCTGAGCATAATGCTCTGTAGCTTGATGTTCCAACTTTGGGGCCTGCAGCAGCTCTGCCGCCTGCTCCGCCCCGTGGCAGTCCTCTCACCTCTGCAGTGTCTGGTTTTGCTGCTTTTCTGGGCCTGGATCTGAAACACAACTGAGGCCTAGAAGTATTTGATGGGGTTCATACCCTCATTACCTTGGGGGCTTAATGTGTAAGGGCTATTTTCCCCGGCCTCTGTGTTCATTCTCTCTCTAAGGGCATCTATCCGGCATGATTAGCAACATGCCAGGGGAGGAACAGTCAGGGGAGAGTCAAACCACATGGTCAATGACATGAAAAGAAGGGGGTCTGATATGCTATCGGAGGAATGATTACGCTAGGGCACTGTTGTTTTCCCAGTTTTGCCTGTTGCTAGGCACCTGGGGCTTTGTGCCTTGGTGACCTTCTGTACTACCCTCTTTGCTCTGCTCATGTCTGTCTAACTGTCTACCACACAAGTACTGACTTTTTAAAGATGAGGATTAAAAAACAAACAAACAACAAACAAACAAACACAGCTTTCCTAAAAATAAACAATTTACAAAGAAATTGAAGAGATAGAAGATACAAAAATTTTTCTTCTGCATGAAAGCCTATCTATTAAAGATGTAATATGCAAATTGACCATCACTTCAAGACAAAGATGGTGGTGCCCACAGCCATTAAGGAGAGAATATGTGAATTGACGTGACAAAGATGGCAACGAGTGGGCCTGGATGCTTGCATCATTGCCATGGTGATGACGCAGGCGTTCCGCCCCGCCCCAGCTGCTCCTGGCCTCTGGGCAGCGTGTGAAGGTGGAAGGTGGCTCCGGCCAGAGCAAAGGCAGTGCCAGCAGCCAGGGGAAGGAAGGCCTATTTTTGCATGAATCTTCATGCATTGGGTGTCTAGTATATAGATAATCTAGATAGATAGATAGATAGATAGATAGATAGATAGATAGAGAGTTTATGAACACAGCAGACCCTAAGATATATGTGCAAACATTTTAAATAACTTATTTGGATACCAGTAATTTATTTTTAATCAAAATTTTTATAATAAACTATATAATCAATTTTATAAAGAATTAGTTTTTAAAGTAAAGCATGGATCTACTATTATTCAACTTTTGTATTATTCAGCAATGCAAATATGGGAATAAAAACTAATTTACCATTCTTCAAAAGCATTTTTTTAAACTTTATAAATGGCTATTGATTTGATCAAAGGTTTCACTGTAAATGTTACAAAAATTAAAGGAACTTTGATCACCTGAAAATTTTATATTTCACTCATGATCTAGTATGTTTTTAAGAGCTATTCAACTGTATTATCTTATTAGTGTGGTTATTCAGTCTTATTCATTGTACTAGTAATTATAATGTGAAAGTCACCTTGAATTAAGAGTCAAATAATATGGATTCGATGCCCTCATCTGTCACTAATTGATTTGTCACTAAGTGAGAATTGAGCAAAGTTTAAGCTTGAGATTCATGTATGTCTTTCAAAATAAAAAGACAATCCTCACAAACTATGTCAAGGGTTAGTATGCAAAATTAGACTATGTTTTGTAATTGTTGTTTTATAGATTTACTATATTTATTAGAAACATTATTTACAGCTACACAGAGAAATGATAAATTCTAAAGCATTCTTTTTTTTTACCCTTGAAAATGAAACTCTACTCGTGTTTTGTTTAACTTCCTTTTTTAGGAAGTTAGTAACATTTTCTTGATTTGATAAATATTCAGTATTTCACAGAAATAAGAATGTATTAGTGATTAAAATAATTTAATTTACTTCTAAGGAATCAAGCAGCCAGAGTATCTTCAGATATATTCTTTTAAAGTTGCTTTGAAATTCATCTTCTTCCTGGCATTACAGAGGAAGAATGTTTGTTAGGAATTGTGTATTTTCATTAAAGATCTATTGTTCTCTCTATTTTAATAACATTAAAAGCACAAGATAATTTTAAGAAATTGAAGAAAACAGTAGCATTGATGTGAGTACAGCAAATGCTATTTAAGCTGTGCAAATGAAATTTTTCAGTACTAATGATATCTAAAAAGGTTTTGCAATGCTTATTTAAATGAAAGCTGGTCATGGTACAACTATGGTAAGTCACATTTTTGCCAATTAAAGAAGACTGTGAATGTTTTTAAGTTATAAACAATCCTTCATAAATTATTGTTTCACACAGAGATTAATTTTATGTTAAGTAGATACATACACATTCTGTAAATACCCTTACATAGATATAAGTGTAGTCTGTATACTTCTTGTGGGTGTTGATTTTGAAGCATATTTACTTCATTTTAATCTTTTGTGGATTATATGTGGAGACTTTATTGCTTTCATTGTTACTTTTCTTACTATGTTCAGTAGTTTCAGTTATCATGGTACAATTACTCAAGTGTCCCAAGTAGTAAGAACAGCTCTGCTTCAATATCATCATTATATGGCATCTAAGATTGATGACAGTGCTACTACCAACTCTTTAAATCTGTCACTTTGGGATTCTAGGATGATTAGGAATTACTCTTCTGTGGCTATTGTTTGCAAAGAGCTGCTAACCAAAGCATATAGTACATAGTAGAGCAGAGAAGAATGATCAGAGAATAAAAATTCAGACACTGACAAATGTAGGATCTTCTTGTCTTTGAAAAATGTTTCCCTGCATTTTTTACGAACAATTTTAGGAATCGTATGTGAAACAAAGAAGGTACACTCGGTCAAAAACTAGTATTTTTTCTGACAACAAATATGAACCTTTCCTGAAACTCACAAACTAATTAAACAGATATAACTTCATGTTTTATACAAATCTGGGACTTGGTTCTTGTTTAGAGTGATGCCTTTAATTCAAAGTGGGGTGTGGTTAGCCAGGTACGATAAACCAAACAGCTGTTCATATCAAGAAGCAGATGTTGGTGGTTCAATCAGAAGTAGAAAAGATTGTGTGACCAGTAATCAGGGCACAAATGATAGGAGAAGAGAATACAAATAGTTTAAAATGTAAAGTAGATTAGGCCTGAGGGAATTCTGGGGAAAAAATAGTGCATTGTGAAATCATGTGTACATATTTTTAATGTGTTTCATCTTTAAAGGGTCAGAAAAGAGATGATTAATGTGTCACTATATTACTCATACATGCTGTGGTAAAATACCAGAAAGCTTAAGAAAATAGACAATAATTGAAAATTTTATTTTTAACTTATGTACTTTATTCATTTCCATTTTGACAAAAATTTCCTGTAAAGTGTACAATGGTTAAAAAGGAAAATAAAATAAATTCACAGAATCTTGGATATAAAAGCATTTATAAAAAATATATTTATATCCAAAGAACAACAACACCAAATTTCTGAAACTATTAAGGGATTATTGCAAGCTTACAAGATATGAGGATGATATAAAAATGTTAACTACTTTTTTATATACCATCAATGAACAATTGGGATTTTGAAATTAAAAACACAAAAAGTGATTCAGTATAAGTTTAACAATGAAGAAATATTTTAAAATGTTGATACAAGAAATAAAAGATCTGAATAAATGGTGAGATATTTCATGTTCAAGAACAGGAGAATCAATATTATTAAGATGTCAATTGTTTTCAACTTGACCCATAGGCTAAGCATAATCTCAATCAAAATTCCAGCAAGATATTTTATATCAACAAGCCAATATTAAAATTATATGAAAAAACAAAACAATAGACAAGTCAATGGAATACACTAAAAAGCCCAGATGTAGAACCACAGGTATACAGTCAATTGAACTTTGACAAAAGAGTAAAGGTAATTCGGTGGAGAAAGAATAGTCTTTTCAATAAAAATGCTGGAACAACTAGAAATGCACATGTAAAATATGAATGTAGACTAAGATGGTACACTTCACAAAAAATAATTCAAATGTATTACACACATAAACTTAAATGCAAAAGTATAAACCTAATAGAAGATAATAAAGGAGAAAATCTAGATGACCTTAGGTTTGGTTTTGACTCTTCAGATACAACACCCAAAGCATAATCCATGAGAGAAAAAAAATAGGTAAAGTGAACTTCATTAAAATTAAAAACTTCTATAAAAATAATTAAGGAAAGAAAAGACAAACCAAAGACTGGA